CGAGCCGCAACGTCCAATGCCTGCCATACGAAGTGGGCGCCGCACCAATGGCATGCTGGTTGAGTGGTTTATAGTGACGCAGACTTGTGCAGCGTCTACTGCACCCTCGGGCGCATTGGCTGACAGAGCTGCGCGAACTACACGCCCCCGAGCGGCTAACCAGGTTCTCACAGAAACATGGGATGGAGACGAATCGCACGTTCGTGAGCGTGCCATGGAGGTCACATGAAGAAGCCGCTGAGTCTGGCTCTCAGACCTCGAGCCAGTCACCCCAAAATGCCACGACTTTTAGCGCACCGTGATAATCTCGAGACTTATTTTAGTGCGTTGATTTGCTGTGGGGATGCATTTATCAGTGTCGACCTCGCTCTTTTCTTTCCCATGCACTGGTACACTGTCCGAGCCTATCAACCATCTGGAAGTAGGCTTAGGGCGTGTTGACTGAGGGAGTTGGAATGGCCCATCTGTGTGTATCACGTGCTCCCCCGAATGGGCCACGTGGTAGGTGCACTGGACCAACACGGGGGCCACATCGGATTCTGGCAGGCGTTATCGGATTGCGCACCATAACAGATGTTAGCATTTCGAAGTACGGTGGCAGCCCCGGTTGCCGGCAGACATCGAGCGTACTAGGACCCCTGCCGACCCCCCCCCAGGTTTAAAATCCTGGTCATTTTCTGTGTGAGCCAGGGGGTGGAGTACCAAGGTGCAGGCTCGACCGTGCCATCCACCTGCGTTCCCCCCGCCTCTGGTCTTCTTGACTCTCTCTTGCCAGTGGGCCCAGGTGGGGGAGGAGGAAAGAGTGCGGTAGATGCAAGTCTACACTCACTAAAATAAGTCTCGCACAAGTCACTGTCCCTGCTCCACCTTGCTGTGGAGCACACGGTGGACATCGTCGGCAACGGCGGTCGAACTGTCTTGTGTACTGCACACAATCTGATCCCCAAGTAATGTATCAGTATCATCACAAACTTATATCCTACGTGCTTAGTAGTTATCCCTTCAATTGGCAGTCTTTCAAGCCATGTCTCTTAGGACGTAATGAGGGATACAAGTTCGCCAGGAGCCGAGGGAAGGGGTTCCTACGTATCGACCAAAGAACCATGACAGTTCACCGGCTCTGTTCGTTATTGTTGTCTCAAAGCGGGGATTTCGAGCGATACGCCACCTGTAATTTGACGTGCCTCCTTCTGACGTCAGGAGTAATCTTTTCGCCACCGAAGCCAGCCGATCTTTCCCTCGAAGCTGAATTCAATAAGGGGCTTCTGGTGCCTCTTGGTAATGTCCCCTTCAGCCTAATATCTAATGGTTACCTCTATAAATTCCGAACTCAGTCGGCTATGAAAGACCCACTGGGGGTCCGCAGAGTGATCTGAGCGTGCGGAGATTCTGCGTGGTTTGTTTTGCTTGCCGACCACTGGTTTATAAAGTCTCCCCTGGAGCTTTTAATGGACGGTGAGACCACAGCATCTGCAGATATTCCATGGTGTGATCACTCTGACAGAAAAGGGGGGGGGTACTTCCAAACACCCAAATTTGCCTGCTGAATACACAATTTTACAGATTCAAAAAGTTCCTCAAAGGTCAAGCTGCAATCCAATCACTTTACAACGCAGAATGCTTATCAGTGATACCCCGCGTTTGCCTATAACCCAAAGGAAAGATAGCTAGGTTGATTAGGTGGGATGCATGAAGCAAGAGGCTTTGGACTCTAACGATTTTGGTGATACTCCTTTGAGCAAATTTGAGAAAAAGCGAACTTGAAATGCCCGCAGTCTCCAAACTTGCATGGCGTGCTTAAAATGCGGCCGCACAGGTGTTTCAAAAACCTTGAAGAAGAGATCTTCATCAAAATCTATAGAAGCTCTCTTGATGGCGTACAACAAGGACATCGCGTTTTTTGTCAGTCTCGATCAATGAACGGACTGTTAATCATCAGCTCATCAAGGCCTTTTTGGTCTTCCACGTCTTGTAGAGCTAACCCATCGAGAAAGTAGTTTATTGTGTCAGCAGATCTCCCTGGGTTGTCTAGGCTAAATATGGCGCACTTGCCGATTGTGAACTACCGAAGCCGACGATTTGATATACAGTCTATCTTCTTCGACAGGACTCTGGATTACACTTCTAAGGACATTATGGATATTGCTGCAGCCCAGTCCAGATATATTGCGCGTTCGTGTGAGTTTATTTGGAACAAAATGGGTCCCTGTGCTGAATCCTAGGAAACCACTTTCGCCCGTAGCAGGATCTGTTATCTTTTGACCGATGAAAACGACCTGACGCGGACCCACGAGGAGGGTTTCGTTCCGTTTGGGGAAGCGACTCCTGATCTCTATCCCTTCAACTTTCTACATCAGTCTCTGGTGTGTATGTGTCTGTGTGTGTGTGAGAGAGAGAGAGAGAGAGAGAGAAAGAAAGAGAGCTCGGGTACAAATCAGGAGGGATTGCCGGAAATTTTTCGCGTAGGATCTTTCTTCACGAGACCCGTGCTTGCAGATCGATGGCCGGCCATGAAATTTTAGGAATCGCACCAGCTCTCTATCTTAATGGTTCCTCCCATGAGTCTGGCGAGAAGACATGCCAAGCTTATGGTCCTGTTATTTGTCGTCGATGTCCGGCTGCCTTTTTTGTGTATAGGAGTTATTTTCCACAGCTTCTAATCGACAGGAAGTTTCCCAGTGTCAAATGAACTTAGGAAGAAGTGCAAAAAATCCGCTGGCAAGTTTTCTGAGAAGTTTGGTTGGAATCTCGTCTGAGCCTGAAGACCTCGACTGGTTTCATTGCTCTTATTCTCTTCGGTAAGATCTTCTGAAAAGAGGATACAATTCATGTTAGCAGCCGACAGGTCCTCTGCGGATGGAGGTAGGAACATTGTTTCGTTTGTGTAAACCGACTAAAAAACTGTGGGAAATATTCAAACTTATCTATGCTTGCAGCAATTTAATTGTCATCAGGAGTTTTTTACTAGGGGAGTTTGATATCCGTTCTTTATTATTCTTCAGAGGTAGCTGTGAAGTATTTCGGGATTCTACATGTTTTTTTCAGCAAATGGATGCCTTCTAAAGATCATGCTCTTCTGGTTATTTTTACGTGTCCCGTTATTGTATATGTATTCGGCGTGCCTGGTGACGCAGTATTATCTCCACAACTCGTGTTTCCTGTTAATGGCTTCCTTTAGCCTACCGTTTAGTAACCGACAAATTTTCAGTTTTACACTCGTCAGTGGACAGTGGTTGCTGATAATCTACAGAAGGACATCCTTAAACAGCTCCCAATACTCGACGGTGGCACCACCCCTGAACATTGAGCTTCAGTCCAAATCGGATAGCCTTGCCCTCATCTGATTGAAGTCACTCGCCAAATAGGGCAACTTATGAGGTCTTAAGCATGTAAAACAGAGAATAACGCCAGCAGTCCTCAGAGGTGACCGTAATGATTGGCGTCCTAAGGGATTCAGTCTTGGGCCTCGTGTTATCCATTGTTTTCATAAATTTCTGCGCCAGGGGCCTAGACCGTGATGTCGCTCTGCTCGTTGACGACATAAAATTGTGGAAAGTTATTCACACTGCGACAGAGGAAGACCGCCTACAAACAAACCCGAACAAGCTCGAGGACTGGTCGAAGGGCTGGCTTATGTCCTCCAATGTAAGTAAGTGGAAGTTTCTTCAATTCCGCAGCCGCGGAGCCTCCAGCCCCAGGACTTACTTTTTTCCTGGTACACCACTGCGACAATTTGACAGTCAGAAGGACTTGGGTGTGTGGATAACATCTTCACTCAAACCAACATTGAACTGCGCGAAGGCGACCAATTCGGTCATGTCTACATTGCAGCTCATTAAGCGAGCCTTTATGGGATTTTACAAGGACAGCTTTTCCAAAATATTTGCAACTTTCATGTGGCCGCATCTAGAATACGCCATACAAGCATGGAGACCTTGAACTGTCAAAGACTGTACCATCTTGGGGAAGGTCCAGAGGTGGTTGACAAAAATGACGAAATTCCTGGTAGCACTGCCCCATGAAAATACACTGTCAACTAGCAGATAATGCTAATGCTAATGTCTCTGATGATGGATTCGAGTAAGGATCCGAAACGTCAGGCAAATAAATTTCTTGTTCCGGTGATCGCATCTTCATCTTCTACACTGTCAACTCTCAACCTGGTTTCCCTCCCCTACTGGCAACTGTACGGTGATCTCATATTAACCTTCTGCATTATGAATGGCTCGCACTGTTGCTTAGCCCCCAGGGATTTTTCAGCTCAATCTAACACGCCCCCTAATACATCCTCTAAACCTACGCGTAAGTAAAGCAACGATCAATGGACGAAAGTTATTTCTCAGTAACGGAGTGACTGAAGTGTGTAACACCCTACCTACTGATGTTATACACTCCCCCTGTGTGGATTCATTCGAGTGTAGACTCGACGGGCATCCAATTACAAGCCACACACGCACTCACATAACGAGTCACCCACTGTACATATAGCCATGCTATTTACAAAGAGTAAGTAGCCATCCATGTTGATTCATTTTCAACCAGTAGAGAGCTGCCTGATTTTCGCATGCAATTATGTAAGAAATATTTCTCTCAAATTTCCCATATCTACACGTTTTCTCCGAAAATTTCTAACAATAGGAGGTTCAAAGGTGTTCGCCAAATATCCTCTTAATCAAGCGGTCGCACTAACGACCACGGTGGCGGACTGCCACAATATTGCCTTCGATCTGCTGACCCTAGGAGTGACTATGACATTTGTGGATAAGGATTTCTGTATGTCAGTGCACGCAGGTTCAACGCATTGGAGAGTCTTCGGCCCCAGATCTGATGATCCCCGTCCGTGTTAGAATATGGCAACGTGGGTTGGGCGATTGCAAAACCCCGAGAGAAATCCATCTGGTCTTGATGTGTGTTGGATGCAGGTGTTTGCAATGGCCTAGGTGTCCGTGGTCGTTTCATAGTGAAAAGAATGTAGTACATGTTGTCGGGTGTCAGACGAAGTGACATATACGCAGACCACCAGCAATGATTCGGATAAAGCATCCCTGCTAGCACCAGCCCCGTCTAGCCCCCGGGACCAGACGGGGCTGGGCCCCGTTTGGGCGGGACTATGACGGGGCTAGGGACGCGATAGGCCAGTCTGGCCCCGGGGGCTAGGCGGGGCCCAGCCCCGTCCTCGAAAAAAAACGCGCAGGGGGACGCCACGCTCTCCGTGATATTAACTCCTCATTTACGTTACCAGTATTATCCCTTTCCTAGTTCTCCGCACAGTAGGTTCTACTAGTCTACTTCTGACCGATGAACACCCATAACCCTTACCTTTGTTAAGTATTACCCACCCTCTAAATATAGTGATAGCGTCGATAACTCAAACATGTACCGAGGTCTACATGAACAAAGTCAATGGACAGCAAATATTGGCATATGGTAGTTTATTGAACATATAAAATTAAAAAAAAGTGGAGTAGTATGTACAAGGGGCATATGAGATACGAATATGTTCTGGTTAGTCAATTAAACGGCATTGTTATGTTGACGGAAGTCCGTCCCCCAACGGTGGACAAATGCTTTACCTATAAGCAGTATAGAGTGTCTAAGCTTGTTTACATACCGTTTCCTGCGCTATCTCACTGTCCGATCCGATTTTTGTAAGGAAGTCTTTGTACGCTTCCGCAGTCGCAGAGGCAGCTGGAGAAGGGGCGGCTTCTCTTTCGAAACAAAGCTCACTGCTTGCAACGCTCGTCAATTGTCGGCTTGCATGGCTTTGATGTCTTGTATAGTGGTCTTCGCCCAGAGCATTTCCTCTGAAAGGAAGTCCAACTTTTTCCTATATAATGTTAAAGGGTTTTAATGGGTTTACCTTTGACATGCCAACTCTTGTTTGATTTCTTGCAGCAAGTGTTGTATTTGAGGCGCTAAGTTCTCCCCGTCTGGCAACCTAAAGCGACAATGTGATAAGGCACGATTACTGATAACTAGTTTTTCCTCCTTGTCTTCATGGAGAATAGGAGGCACCCGGCACATTATCGTTTGTGGGCCTGAAGTTCGTTTAAGCCAATGAGACCTACCGGAGTACAGCCGAAGGTACGGCCCACGGGCCTAACCGTCGGTCTGTGTGCTTGCGTATCTCCTGTAGTTCGTCGTCGTCTTCCGAATCGCAAGTCAGTCTTCGGGGATATCTATGAAAAAATAAGTAATGTTTTGGCAACGTACTTTGTCCGCATGCCTCTTCCTAAAGTTTCCGGCTCTGACGATGAAAGGTGGTCCGTATGTTCGGCCTTTTGGGCTAACCGGTGCGCCTTATCAAGATCGAGGCCGTCCTTGAGGACCTCAACTTTATACAGTTTTGCGCCATTGGTGGGCCGTCGATTGGCCTCCAACAGACGCTGGATTTCCCGGTCCTTTGGCCAGGCAACTAAGTTATCCCCAAGCAACCACGAGTTTGCAACAACGGCCAATGAGTCATCGCACACAAATTCAACAACTGAATACATCTGCAGAGAGGTTTGGTTGATGGGGGATGGACGTGGAAATTAAGTCATTGTACATTAAAAGTATGCAACAGGGGTATTAAGTAAAACAGTTCGTCAACATGAAAAGAAACATATTTACAAGTAATGTCACTAAGAGAGGCAGTGTTTTTGCTACTCGAAAAAAGGGAGGCTTTGAAAATAAACAAACTAGAAGAAGGAACAGAGGTGGTAAAAAGGTCGACGCATTCCTCGAAGGGGTGGTATGTTATTTCGGAAACCGACACAAGACACCAAGACAAACAAGGTGCATGTAGTCAATTGGAAACGTAGCAACCATATCAATAGGCAAGTCTTCGAAAGGTGAAGTGTCTTACGAATTAACATATAAATACCATTAACATATATTAGACCGCCATATAGTACACTCAGGCAGTCAGATTACGTGCCATTCTTACCCTGCCAACACATGGCCCCGGGGGCCAGACGGGGCTAGGCCCCGTTCAAATTTCCATCCTTTCTAATTACGTCATTCTGCATTATTTTCGACCGTTTGAGCTTTATTATCGTCAAATATAAGCTTTTTAGCTTGTTTAATGTGTTTTCAGTCGTATGACATCGAGAGAAATTCATGTTTCACGAAGGCAAATATTGGCCTTGTTTAAGTCGGTCATGTACCTACCCACGTGGACGGCACTTTTACGCTGACTGTGTGCACGCGTGATCCATCCAGCTGACCGACTCCTGATTCTTACTTGGCTCGTTTTGACTGCAGTACATTATTCATTTACTTATTTATTTCTTCTATGCGACGCAATATGTCATTGTAATAAGTAAATGCTTTATTTTAGTCTCTAGAATCGTAATTTAAGTTATTTATAAGAATGGCACGTAATCTGACTGCTTGAGTGTACTATATAGCGGTCTAATATATGTTAATGGTATTTATATGTTAATTCTAAGCAAATATGGAAAGAAAATACTGGGGACTTCATCGCAGTACAATGCACAACATGACTAAGCGGGCGAAGATGGCGTACTATGCCGCCACCGATGACCCCTCGCTCCCGTCTACGCCATCCTCGTAACGGAGCCATCACCCGAACCATCGATGCCGCACTTTAGCCCTGAAGTGAGCATTGGTAGGTGTTATATGGTATGCTATAAGACGATGTAGACGACGACCAGGTTGCAGATGAAAGCTCGAACCCGTTCAGTGGCAATTGCTTCCTGACAGATTTGAGGGAATTCTGCTTAAGTGTCCAACTACCGCAGGCAACATTCAAGTTGTTGTTCCAATTTTTGCGGAAATACCACCCAGAGGTGCCCAAGGACCCGCGAACTCTCATGCAGACACCGCGAGCATGCGCTACTGAGTCCCTCTCTAACGGCAGCTACGTCCACCTGGGCCTTAAACGCGGCCTGTTAGATGAGCTGAAACTTCGACCGTCGGCTTTGTTACCGAAAATACGGGTTCAACTCCACATTGACTGAATGAAGCTGTTTAAAGGGTCTGGCCAGTGTCTATGGCCAATCCTCGGTCGAGTCAGCTATCCTGTCCGTGGACTGCCGTTTGTTGTTGGAGTGTTCTCTGGTTCCGGCAAGCCTGAGCCTTTGGATGTATTTCTTGGCCAGTGCATCTCAGAACTGAAGGATATTCTGACCAGCGGACTTCAGGTCCCGGATACGGACGCTGTAGTTAGAGTTGAGCTGGCGAACGTCATCTGCGACACGCCTGCTCGGTCCTACGTCCGGCAAGTAAAAGCGCATAATGGATATTACGGCTGCGACAGGTAATTGCTGTAATCGACGAAAATGTAATCCTCCTAGGTGTTGTCATATGGGTAGGTCCGTGGCAAACCGCATGACCTTCCCCGTACACAGCGGGCGCCTGCGGGATGACAGGTCATTCCGTACGAGAAGTCAGGAGCAGCACCATAAAGGCACCTCACCTTTCGAGGACTTGCCTATTGATATGGTTGCTACGTTTCCAATTGACTACATGCACCTCGTTTGTCTTGGTGTCAGGCGGAAGCTCCTACATATGTGGCGGCTCGCAACGGGGAAGCAGTCGATTACTATTAATGCGTCCATTAAACAATGCAGTCAATGTCTGCCTGCTGAATTTTCCCGCAAGTGCAGACCTCTTGACTGTCTTGAATACTGGAAGGCTGCAGAATACCGACAGTTCCTACTGTACATCGGTCCTGTAGTCCTAGCTAACCATCTTGATTCCTCCCTTTATGAACATTTCCTTCTTTTGTTTGTTGCCGTTTTTATTTTTTTCCATCCCATTTTGCATAAATCCCTCATTGATTTTGGACGTCTGCTATTAGATAAATTTGTTTCTGATTTCCCAATATTGTACAGTCCTGCAGATCTTGTTTATAATGTTCATAGTTTAGTCCACCTCCATGAGGACGTTAGTCGTTTTGGAGTTTGGGACAATTTTTCTGCCTTCCCTTTCGAATCTTTTTTACAAACCCTTCGCGGTACCATCAAGGGTCCCAGTAATGTAGCCGCACAGGTGTACAAACGTTATTCTGAGAGACGTTTGCCTGAGTTGCCAACTAGCTCACTGCTGTTGGACGACGATGAGGGGGTACCACGGTCGTTTCAGTTGCCGCGCAGGTCGACCGCTATTCTTCACAATGGCTACGTACTGTCAACTGAGGCGCCTGATAACGTCGTGCTTATTGGTGAGCGACCGTGCGTACTGACATCTGTGTCGGTTTCCGAAATAACATACCGCCCCTTCGAGGACTGCGTCGACCTTTTTACCACCTCTGTTTCTTCTTCCCGTTTGTTTATTTTTAAAGCCTCCCGTTTTTCCAGTAGCACCAACACTGCCTCTCTTAGTGACATTACTTGTAAATATGTTTCTTTCAATGTTGACGATTTGTTTTACTTAATTCCCCTGTTGCACACCTTCGATCTACAATGACTTAATTTCAACGTCCATCCCCCATCAACCAAACCTCTCTGCAGATGTATTCAGCTGTCCAATTTGTGTGCGATGAATCATTGGCCGTTGTTGCCAACTCGTGGTTGCTTGGGGATAACTTAGTTGCCTGGCCAAAGGACCGGGAAATCCAGCGTCTGTTGGAGGCCAATCGACGGCCAACCGACGGCGCAAAGCTGTATGAAGTTAAAGTACTCATAAATAATTTAAATTACGATTCTAGAGACTAAAATAAAGAATTTACTTATTACAATGACATATTGCATCGCATAGAAGAAATAAATAAGTAAATGGATAACGTACTGCAGTCAAAACGAGCAAAGTAAGAAGTAGGCGTCGGTCAGCTGTATGGACCACGCGTGCACACAGTCAGCGTAAAAGTGCCGTCCACGCGGGTATGTACATGACCAACTTAAACAAGGCCAATACTTGCCTTTGTGAAACATGAATTTCTCTCGATGTCATACGACTGAAAACGCATTATACAAGCTAAAAAGCTTATATTTAAAGATAATAAAGCAAAAACAGTCTAAAATAATGCAGAATGACGTGATTAGAAAGGATGGAATTTTGGACGGGGCCTGGAGAGGAAATGTGGACTTGGAAACCACAAACAGTAATATATACAGGAAAAACTAACTCCAAATGTGGGAATTGTGTTTACCAACAAAAAAGAATGTACAGATTGAAAGAACCAGAAAATGAATGTTCCAGACTCACGTAAAGTAGAATCCTATCAAGTAGAGAGATAGTGTCCCGATGAGGAACTGGTTGAAGGGAGGCTCTAGGTTCCGCGATGATACGCTGAAGTCGGCTTTGAAGAGGAAGTCTCCGTCAGCTCGTACGAATCGCTAAGACTATTGAGAGGTGACATGCGCACGCCAAGAAATAACGACGTCAAACACACTCGAAACCAGAACACACGTTGACCGCTGTAGCGTTGTTAATGTGTATTTGCGTTTAGTCAAAAAAATGTACAGGCAGCTGCCTGACCTAGGTCAGGTGTACAAGAAAATGTAGTGAAGCAAATCAAAAGTGTAAAAAAGCCTACAGGCCTGGCCCAGTCTAGCCCCGTCTGGCCACAGGGGCCAAGTAATGGTAGGGACACTACTGACAAAAAGTACATTAAAGACGCAAAATGCATGAATTGTTTACTATAAGGCTTA